TAAGAAGTTGTGAATCAATATTCAAATGTCGTGTTCATCGTTCTTGCAGAATTGTTGATATATCCACCCTTGGTCTTAGAAGTCTATAGGATGCCTTGACTGTGAGAGATTGTAGCAATTGAGGTTTCCTCTTTTTATTTGTTTGCCATATCCACTCTGCAGGGTCGAAGGGGAGTTCTGGGATAGGTATTTCATGATGGAAGGAACGCCAACCTTTGATGGAAGAGAGGAAAATAACTCTAATGCGATACATGTGGGTGTGGGGAAAAAAAACACCCTATCTGAAGGGGTAAAAAATAAATAGTATTATCCTTATTTATCGGCTATGTTGCCACTTGTACCCACCCTCGTACGAGTACAGACTCGTACTCTTGTACTCGTACGCTACTCATACGCTAGGGGCCTCGTACGAGGTTTTTTTTTTTTTTTTTTTTTTTAAATCCGGTAATGTTTTTATTTGTTTTCTCAAATTCTAATAAGAATCTGAAGATGATGCTCAGCCAGATGTTGCTTGTTTTGTGCTGTTGGATCACATATTTTTGTTTCGTATTTTTTGATGACTTTTTTTTTTTTTTTTTTTTTTCGCTTTTTCGTACGGGGGCGTACAATACGTACAGGTTTTCATGCAGGTTCCCGTACAGATCCTGTACAGATATTACCTGTACCTTTCGTACGGAAAGGCCGCGTACGTGTACTCTATGCAACGTAATTTATTACTATCATATAGATTATAATCATACATGCGGTGGATAAGCAAGGGGCCATTTCTTTGCGCACGCACACCCATGTGCACGCATGTGATGCGGCGCAAGTGCGGAATAGAGTCGATTAAAAAAATTCAAAAAGGGCAGGCTGTGGTAGCCAAATGTGCCCCTCCCTTCTGAAAATTGTAAGTGCACAGAAGAAAAAAATCGGTGCCACATCGTACTCCTCATTAGATAGTCTCTTTTCCAAATGGCCCCCAGCAGAGAATAAGCAAGGCCCCATTTCTTTGGAGAGACATTCATCGAAATGCTGGTGGTACACGAGCAGGCCACCAATATATCCTCTGGATTCGAATTCAGGCCTGTGTTCCAGCGGTTATGGGTTGCTACCAATACTACCGTAGCTCTCTCTTTTTCTTGTTTTTCCTTTTCTTACATGCAGTGGCCCTGAGGGCCTCGCTCCACTAGTCACCACTTGCATAAAAACAAAACATATGGCGGCATATGGTTCCACGTTCTAGCAGAATAGTTTTGGAAATTTCGTGAGTAGTGGAGTGAAGCCCTGAAAATCTGTGTCCGAAAATCGATTCAACGCCGGTTCTGCGTCGAAAGATTCAACGCGCGTTGAATCCTCGTTGAATCCCCATTGAAAAGCCCATTAGACCAAGGCTGAATATCCGGTCCCACCGGGGCCCCCTTCCCCCACCGGAACCAGGCCGGTGGTACCGGCCGGTGGAGAGCACCGGTTCCTCCGGTTGCAATTTGTTCAATTCGCTGGGGGGGGGTTACAATTTTTTTTGGGGCCGGGAGGCCTCCATGCGGGTCGTGGAGGCCTCCCGGCCCCAAAAAAAAATCAACCGGGTCCGGTAGGCCCGCCAGATTGTTGAGAAACTGGCGGCCTATCTGGGCCGTCTATCTGGTGAGATCTGCGGCCCAGATAGGCCGCCCATTTTTGAACGTTCGGGCGGGAAACCACCCGAAGTTCTGGGCGGCGATCCAAACCTTCCCCAGGCACAACCCCCACCACCCCGCCTCCCGCCTCCAGCTGCTTTCGAGCAGCAGGACCCCTCACTTCGACACTTCATCGTAAGTGAACGAGGTTGAGACTGCGTCGGCCCCACCCACGTCCGCCCCGCCCTCGGATCGCCATCGCCCTGGCCCGCCGTCTATCGGTAAAGGTAAGTCTTCCTTTGTTGTTCTTTGTTTCTTCTTCTTCTTCATACTATCTTCTTCTTCTTCTGGCAAAGCCGAAGTCCGAAGTTTGCGAAGTGTGTGTGTGTGTGTGTGTGTGTGTGTGTG